TATGGTGGTGGGAAGATGTAATGGTGGTGGGATTGGTGTTCAAATATTTAAATATAATCAAGTATTGTGAACTACTTTATAAAAATGAAATTAAAAAAATAAAATAATCTTCCCTGGTTTACCAGAAGAACCCAGACAATGCTGCACTTGCCCTCTCAGCTGAAGATCATCACTGAAGAGGAAAAGACGGGCCAATTATCTGCTTCCTAACAGCCACGCCCTAACCCAAATCTCCCTTTCTACATGAAGGGTTTTGTTTGTTGTCTGGTTTTTCAGGTGTTGTATGTTTTCAGGTTTACAGTGATAGTAAAGTGGATAGGGTGCTTTCCCAGGTTTGATCCCCAGCATCCCATATGGTCCCCGAGCATCACCAGGTATGACACCCCCCCCAAAGGGGGGGGCAAGTTATCTAATTATCTCGACATCAGGACATAGGAAAATCAGACTTAGACTGCTTTTTTTTAGTCTAAAATCTTCTGGGGGGAGTGAAAGACATAGTACAGAAGATAAGGCAATTGCCTGGCAAGCGGTCAACCTGAGTTAAATCCCCCACACCCTAAATAGTCCCCCACACCCCACCATAGTGATCCCTAAGCTCAAAATAACTATGAATAAGTCCTGAGTACTATGAGGTAAAACAAAAATAAAATATAACTTCGGAGGTTTCCCACCCTCCCAAACCTAGACACTGAAGAAGGGACAGCAGTGTCATTGGATGAGGCTAATTTACCTAATTCAACAATAAGCTGGGGAAAATGTTCAGTGTCTTTCAAGGACATCTGGAGATGTGAGAATTCTGCAAACCTGACAAAACCCACACTCATTAGATTCATCCAGACAGAGGTGTTGGGGCAGGCCCATGGTCAACCCAAGGTAGGGTCTGAGCTAATAATTCAGAGGCTTCCATACTGGATTCTGTGCACCCCAAGATTTACTAATTTCCTTGGCCTGGAAAGCAAGGAGCAGGCCTTGCCCATTGTGCTTACATCATTATTGCCTTATCCTTCCACTTCTAAAGGCCTTTCTTCTCCGTGATCAACTAGAGCTTGAGTGATCTTAAACAAGAAGCAGGTTCATTTTCAGACTGGGCATCAATGAAGAAGGCAATTGAGAAGAACAAAGAAACTCCTCTAGCAAAAGAGGAAAAGAAAAACGAACCTGGCTGAGAACATATCGTTAAAAAAAATCACGACTTTCCATCTAGTCTGCCACACATCTTCACTGAATGGTCACAGTATCAGCAGATATTTTGCTCTCAGTTGCACAAAGAAATTGAGGGAAAACATGGTATTTCACTTGCCCTTTTCATACCTCAAAAGGGCAATTCTTAACTAGGACAAAATTCTATATTTTAAGTTTCATTCGTGGGAGACATGAGTTCTTGGGCCCATGGATTTTCTAAATGCCACTCAGCTGGGAGAGGGTCTGGAGGAGCACTCAGCCTGAGCACAGGGGCAGACGCACCCCCACCTGTGTGGGAAGCCTGCTGGCTGCTTCTAAGTCAGTTCCCAGTGCTTAGCTATTGCTTCCATGGCTCCATGGCAGGAGAGGCTGAACACCATTCCAACAGGTCAGCTATCACCTCAGCCAGGGACAAGGAGGCACCTTCATTAGAGTTCAGGAAAGTCTCAAACTCTTCTATTCAAAGAGGACTGTCCTGAGTGCATTACCACCAAGACTAATGCCAGGACACAGATCCCACTCGTGGTGGGAACACACCTGCCAAGCATGCAGTGACCCACCAACACTTTGGGCCACTTTCTTGTCTGTGGGGAAGGTAAGTTCCACCTTTTCTTCTTGGCAGAATCTTCTTCTTCAAGATCCTGTGTTGGAATGTGGCTGCGGCTTCCACAGCAGATGCACACACGGCCAGGTGATGATTCAGAAAACAAAGTGAAAAGCTCCACAAGCTGCTCTGATAAGGATGGGAACAGCAGTGTGGGAACACCCAACAGTATATGGCTGCGGGCGTTACCAGTACGAGCTGTGGGGTCAGTTGTGGCAGACAACTGTAAGCACCCAGCTTGGGAGTTGGATACTTGTTCCAACGTAATCAGTGTTTTTAGCCTGGGCCTGATAATGTCCTTGCATGAACCAGCCTTCTGTCACCAAGGAGCACGTGCAAATCCTGAGAAGTCTTTGCCCAGAAGTTCCTGGGACTGGGAGGAGGACAGAATGGAGAATGGGTCAGACTTGTGTTCAAACCTGGCTCCCCCATCTACTGGCTTTGTTACCAGGGCTATGAAATTTGACTCCTGGCTTACCATTATATCTCATCAAAATCGGAGCCAATGAAGATATTGAACAATAAGGTGCCCAGGATAATGCTCCTCATTTCCTCCCCCCTCCAACCCTTGACACTATTATCTAATACACTCAGACATTTTCTGTTGTTCTAAGCTGCCAAGTCATTCAAATTCTGATAAGGAAAAAAATAATCAATAGGACTCAGTCTTCAAGTCTTACACCATTTTAAGCATAACTACACTTTTCAAGTGGATACATGCCGTGGTCTATTTTACCAATGAATCATGAAATCATTCAGTCAGGCTCTCTCCAGTCTGAATTCAAACAGGTTATATGTATAAAAGGGCATCACTCAAATGTTGGGTAGACACTAAAGTAAGGAACATTTCCCTAAGCCAATCAACCTATAATGTTAACTTTAAAATAATCATGAGTAGAATATGGTGTGATTATGACACCCCCTTGTATGAATACAGCTTTCAGAGTCTCCTCCCACACACTACTGGTGTGGCTCTTGGAATCACGCCCCCCCTCGCCCCCAAGTGACAAGTAGGACATCCTCAGAAACCTTGCCAGCTTCTCCCAAGTCTTTCTGGTCTTCTCAGGACTCACAGCCCTGACATTTGAGAGGCCATTCTGTGATCCTGGCATCCAACCAGCCACCAAAATTCATGAACTCCCTGTCATGTTGAGAAAATGCTACACACTAGAAATTCATACAGCCCCAGGTCTGACCACAAAGGATTTTAGCCACAGAGAAGAGGGACAATGAAGGGAATGAAAACAATAATGGTATAATGGTGACTGGAGTTAAACCAAAGGAAACCAAGTCATTAATATACAGTAGCCTCAGGTAGAAAACTGACAGTAAGAAGGTCTCCATTTTGTCCTATTCTTTTGGAACCATTCATAAAAAATCGGTATAACCAGATAGCATTCATCTAATATATTTTAACTCAGTAAGGTCTTTTCAAACAGTCTTGGGGTCTGGGGGAATGGAGAGCCTGAACACCAGGTTAAAACAGCTGAGTATTATTTGGATAACAACAGGGAGCCTTTGAAGACTTGTAAGGAGTAGAGTGATGAAACTTCAGGCATACTTGGTAAAAGATGAATGAGGGGCAGAATAAGAGCTAGGGGGTTGCCTTCTTTCACTGATGTAATAAATATAGGAATGGCAGGTTGTACGAGTACCTCCTACAGAGATTTCGCTTTTCTGCACTCAGCTCTGACTTCCACACGTATCGTTTTCATCAGCCTCACAGAAATTCTAAACTTTAAGCAATTCTAGATGTATACTAAAAGTTATTTATTGTATTTAATACAATTAGTAATATGTTTCCCTACCATTATGAATTCAAAAGATAATATTGTATGTAATGTATGCCCTGGAAGACAAAATACCGAGCAAGTTACCATTAAGAATAATGGACATGGGGATGGGACATGGTTGCATGGGACAATGTGGGCTCTGCACTTATGAGGCCCCGGGTATGATTCCAGCACCAAAAAGAAGTTTCAAGTAGTTGTCAATCCAGTAAGTAAAGTAAGTAAAAAGTAAAGGCCCTCCCGTTGATCGTCGATTTGCTCGAGCGGGCCCAGTAACGTCTCCATTGGAGACTTTGTTGTTACTGTGTCTGGCATATCGAATACTCTCGGTAGCTTGCCGGGCTCTCCGAGAGGGGCGGAGGAATCGAACTCGGGTCGGCCATGTTGGCCGCGTGTAAGGCGAACGCCCTACCCGCTGTGCTATCGCTCCAGCCCATCCAGTAAAATCTGAAAATCAATTTTATTTTGATGATTAGTCACAATTGTTAATCGTCGATTGCCTCGAGCAGGCCCTTGTAACGTCTCCTTCATCCTAGCGCTAAGATTATATTCAAGGCTCTTTAGGAGAAAGAGACCCATCATTGTTACTGGTATTTGGCATATTGGGTACGCCACGGGGAGTTTGCCAGACTCTGCCGTGTGGGCAGGCTACATTCGGTAGCCTGCCAGTTTGTCAAAAATGATTAGTATTTTAATAAAGACTTAGAAAGTAAATACCACGTGCTTAGACTAGACCAGAAATTGCTCTCTCTCTTTGTAGCCTCGTTAGGAAAAGTCATTTTGGGTCTAGAGACATGCTACAACAAATACAGTGCTTGCCTCACACACAGCCAAACCTGGTTCAATCCCTGGCATCATACATGATCCCCTAAGCTGTGCCAGGAGTAACCCCTTAACATAGAGCAGGAATAAACCCTTGGTGTGACCTCCCTCAAAAAAATAAGAAATTTTTTTAAATGTATTCAGGGACTATAGATGACAGTATAGAGGTTACATGACTTGTAAGCAATTCACTCTGGCTCAATTCCTGGTACCACATGTTCTCCCAAGCTTTGCCTGGTATAGCCCTGGAAGTCCCATGCTCTGCCAGGGTGGCCGAAGTAATCCCCAGCACTGAGGGACTGTATCCTCAGTTCCACATTGACCAGCCAGTGCTGTTGGTCAATAATCACTGGGTGGGAACCCCAAGTCTCTACAGTGCCATCTGGGGGGGTCCCACCATGCAAAATACACACACACACACACACACACACACACATCATTCTAAAGGGTTTGTGATGTAACTGGTGAGTCACTTGCAGTTCCCTTCTGTGTGTGCAATGATAAGCAAAGAAAAGGTCCAAGCTAGGGTGGATTTTTCCAAACCCTTTTCAGTACTCAGTTATATCCATCTCTTCCTAGGTGGGAACAACTGTCATTCTTACCCGGCGTCATCCTGGAAGCCTTCGAACTCGTCCCGCTGCTCTGCTAGCGTGGCCTCCAAGTCCAGGTAGGTGCCATTGTGGGAGAGTTGCAGTGTGCAATCGTCCAGCTGCAAGAGAAAGATGCTGGTCAGCCAGCTACTCCAGGATGGGGTACTGCATGAAGTCACTGCACACTACCCTTATGTCTGTAAATTAAATATTATTCCCAAGTACAGGTCATCATTGGAAGAGGTTGTGTGCACACACAAATAGTTTAGGAGGAAAATGCAAGCTGAGTGGGCAGGAAGAACCCCCATTAGGAGAGCTGGGAGGGGGTAGAGGAAGGATGCGGGGGTCTCCCAGAGCAAGAGCCATTTTCTATCAAGAAAGTTTCAGGGAAAGTCAAAGATCTGGGGAATGGAAACCAAGTCCCAATACCAACATGGACAGAAGGAGTTCCCGACAATAGGAGACAAACTTTGATGAAGAAAACAAGTTGTTTTCTTTTTCTTTTTTTTATTTTTTTAAGTTGTTTTCTTTAGTTCTATGACAATCCTGCTTATTCAGATTCAATGGCCATATCAGACATGTTATATAGCACTGTAGCACTGTCTTCCCATTGTTCATCGATTTGCTCAAGCAGGCACCAGTAACGTCTCCATTGTGAGACTTCTTACTGTTTTTTGGCATATTGAATACACCATGGGGAGCTTGCCAGAGTCTGCCATGCAGGTGGGATACTCTCGGTGGCTTGCTTGGCTCTCCGAGAGGGACGGAGGAATCGAACCCAGGTCGACTGCTTGCAAGGCAAACACTCTATCCGCTGTGCTATCATTCCAGCCCTATGTTACAAAGATGCTCAATAAATCTTCAAAAACAGTTTACTTTATTATATTTTAGATAACATGACTATAATAGTGTTAACATCTGACGCACAAAGTTACTGCATCTTCACCATCAGCAAGATGGCTAAGATCATCCACCACTACCCCTTTGTCTTCTAGTCCTTTTCTTCAAGCCTCTGGTTCCCCACCTCAAGGCTCGGAAATATGACTTTTGTACAAGGTCAAGGGTTTGTCATTATTTAATATTATTTATTCCTTCGCTTTGTTTTCTTTGTTTTGTCTTTCTACATTCCACAGATGAGTGAAGTCATCCAGTAATTATATGATAAACATTTTTTTTGTTTGGGGCCACACCCAGCAGTGCTCAGGACTAACTCCTGGCTCTGTGCTCAGGAATCACTCCTGATGCTTGGGAAACCATATGGGATGCTTGGGATCAAACCTGTGTCAGCCTCATAGAAGGCAAGCATCCTACCCACCACACTATCTCTCCAGACCCTCAATGAACATGTTTAACTCAAAGTCACTTTCTCCATCTCACTGGCAATAAATCCAAGACATGGAAGGGGGCAGAGACAGACATAGAAAGAGAGAGACACACACAGAGAAAAATTAGGTCATCTTAGAGAAGGGAGCACCAAATAAAGGATGTTTGGAGGATCCTCCCAGGAGGGGAGATGCATGTTGAAAGTAGACTATGAACTGAACATGTTTGCCACTCAATGCTTCTTTTGCAGACCACAACACCCAAAACGAGAGAGAGAACAAAAGGGATTGCCCTGCCACAGAGGCAGGGTGGGGGGGGGGGGGATGAAGGTGGGAGGGATATTATCCATGGTGGTGGAAAATGGGCACTGGTGGAGGGATGGGTATTTGATCATTGTATAATCGAAACCCAAGCACAAAAAATTGTAAATCTACAACTGTACCTCATGGTGTTTCACTAATAAAAAAAAATTAGGTCATCTTGCGCTTAGCCTCATTTAAACCTTTTTTTATTTACAGACCTACACGTGAAGCACATCTTTTATTTAGAGCAACATAAACCTTTTCAATTTAACAAATATTTCTATGTTTTTAATTCTATCTGGGCACCATTCAAATCATTTATATGTGTTCTATCGCTTGATTCTCACATATAATCCTCTGAAGGATTATGGTTGTCTCTGTTTCACAGATGAGAAAACTGAGGCAAAGAGACTCAGTTACTTGCTCAACATCACATCTGGGAAATGATGTAGCTGGGCTTTGGAGCTTTGGATTCATGTTCTCTCAGTTCCTGTTCTCTGCATCTCTCTATGATGAGAGACCTACAGAGGACTTGAGAATATCATGCCTGAAAAACGTAGCTTGTGTCATCTAACTGTTGTGATGTGACCAAGGCAACTATAGATTTGTCATGGCCTCCCATTTCCTCTGGGCACAGAGACCAAACTTGGAACTGAGTTAGGTCCTTGTAACTGAGTACTCACTAGTGGTATGTGGGTAAAGGTGAAGAAGGTAGCCCTCAAGTCTGGCGCTACTACCTTGCCAGATGCAAAGAAGCCAGGGAAGATCAAAGCCTAGAAACGTGCCAATGTCCAGACAGATGGAGTATCGATCCCCTGGTGACTGCTGCCAGCATCCACTGGCCACGTTGCCATGGCATTATATTTAGAATGATCAATACATTCAAAAGTACAGGACAATCATTTTGCTGAAGAATAAAATGAGAAGATGCCGATATAGAGCTCCCTGTTAGATGTCTCGTATTGCAAGGAGGCCTCTGCTTTCCATCTACTTGGTGAACTCAGGCTCCTATTCCAAACAGACAGCAAATTGGGCAAGAGTGGCGGCAACTGTGCATCTCCCTTAAAACACCTAAATAAATGCCTGAGAATATTCCCACTATACGAGGTATTTCAAGCAAGGAACAAGTCTCTTCAGAGAGAAATGCTTTGCTTTTTATCTTCAACAAAAGCACAGACTCATCCTAGACTCAGAGACTATAAAATCCAGATCCCGGACGAGAACAGTGCAGTCTTCTGCCCCCGCGCCTGGGTGTTCCTTCCCGGAGCCCCTTGGAGGGGAGCGGGTTGAGCTTTCCTCCCCGCCCCGACCAGGGCTCCGGCAGCCGAAGACCTCCAGGACCAGCCACCACCATGCTGAGACCACTCTCCGCACACATGAAGGTACTGGCAGAGGGACAAAGCCACGCAGGTTCCGGGGCCGAGACCTCCAAGCCTATTCGAATTGGAGTCGAGCATCTGCCACCCAGATCCTCCAAATTCCAGTAGGCGGGGGTCACACCCACCACCTGGCCCCCTGGCGCCGTGTAATCCCATCAGCGGCCAAGACTCAGAGACTATAAAATCTAGATCCCAGAACCGCGCGGCCACATTCGCGGCTGCGCGACATCTTACCAGAACTTTTTTTTTTATGACATCTTATTGTCTCATTCCTACTTTGGACAAACTTGCAGGCTATCGAATGTAGCCTGCCCACACGGCAGAGTCTGGCAAACTCCCTGTGGCATACCAAATATGCCAAATACCAGTAACAATGACGGGTCTCATTCTCCTAAATAGCCTTGAATATAATCTCTGGGCTAGGATGAAAGAGACGTTACTGGGGCCTGCTCGAGGCAATCGACGAATAACAGGATGATGAAATGAAATGAAATCCTAGGTGGAATCAGCATATTCTGGGCTACAGATTCTTATGGCAACCCTGCCACTTCTCAGTTCTAGTTATCCTCAACAGAATGAAAGGAATTTTCCCTTTATTATTTACAAGAAATGCCTAGTGAAATCATTTGAAGGGGTTAATCCTATTTGATTCACTTGTTTTCATTCACTTAACAGCAAACCGCTCCTCACAATGAGTAAATTGTGCAGTGAGGGCAGCATTCTTTTTTTTTTAATTGAATCACCGTGAGATGCAGTTTCAAAGCTTTCATGTTTGAGTTTCAATCATACAATAATCAAAAACCCATCCCTCCACCAGTGCACATTCTCCACCATCAATGTCCCCAGTATACCCCCCCTTTCCTACTCTCCCCCTGCCTCTATGGCAGACAATTTCCCCCATACTCTCTCTCTACTTTTGGGCATTATGGTTTGCAATACAGATATTGAGAGGTTATCACATTTGGTCCTTTATCTACTTTCAGCACACATCTCCCATCTCGAACGATTACTCTAACCATCAGTGTCTTAGTGATCCCTTCTCTATTCCATCTGCCTTCTACCCTGGCTCATGAGACAGGCTTCCAACTATGGGGCAATATTTCTGGCCCTTGTGTCTACTATCCTTGAATGTCAGTCTCATATTATGTTACTTTATATTCCACAGATGAGTGCAGTCCTCCTATGACTGTCCCTCTCTGACTCATTTCACTTAACAAGATCCTCTCCACGTCCATCCACTTATAAGTAAATTTCATGACTCCATCTCTCCTAACAGCAAGGGCAGCATTCTTGACTGGCTTTTGTGAGATGGATCATCCATCTGAACAGAGAAAGGGCTTAAACTCAGGTCTCCCAGGGGCCCAGGTCCCTGCACCCTGGTGTCAGCAGCTTGCCCTGGGTGTGGAATGAACACACAGGAGCGCTGCCTAACTTCTTGGCCCACAAAAGTAACAGACAGGAAGGGGCTCCTTCATCGGGCAGCTCCTGGCCCATGGCTCTCCTCTCCTCCAGAAGGAAATCAGACTTTATCATCCCCTTGGTGGAATGATAACTTCCAAAGGTGGAAAATTCCGTCTGAAATGGGACCTGGGCACAAGTAACAGGAACTATACATAAAGCCCTAATCACAGCAGCTCAGCCTTACTTTCACACCCAAAACTGGCCTTATTAAGTCTAATGCATAACTGCTCTGTTCTGTTGATGATAGTGTCAGCACTTTTGCTTATGTTTAATCCCACATATAACCAGTAGATTAGAAAACAGGGATAATAAAGCCTTTTAAGCATAACAACTTCTTTCGCCTCAGGAAACACAGAAGCTGAGAGAAAGAAGCATTTGGATAAAGAGTTTCTGCTTCTTCTCCATTGGATTCCAAGGAATTAGGAGGTTGTGACTCACCCAGCCAGAGAAGAGCATGAAAGCAAAAGTGCTGCTGTGGGTGGTTGGACGCAGACAGAATGGGCTCTGATCTGTGGGGTCAGTGACTTTACCTTGACCTGGAGAGGTGCACTGGTTCACAGTCTTTTCACTGTGCAGACTCAAGAGCCCTAAGCAACCTCAACTGCACAGGTAGGGTCGGAGCAATAATACACTGGGGAGGGCATTTGCCTTGTA